GTAAACCAAAACGTGGGAATAAAGCCTTTACAATAATTTTGCTTACGATCTAAAGTTTTTATGCCCTTATTATTTAGCTACGTAAGCATTTAGTTTGTATAAAAACGTTATCATTAATTCAATAAAGATCACTTGAAAGCAATCAAGCAAACAAAAGTGGTCGAACTTGGCGTAATCGCTATTATTCTGAACATTCTGGTGACCCCTGTGAAAGGACATTCAGCTTAAACAAGGCAGCAGTTTAAGGAGCCACAAAACTAATCTAAAAGAAGAAAAATGGATCGTTTCGAGGATTTGGCAAGACAGCAAAGAGAAACGGGCGGCAATATCGAATCAATTGTCCGAAACTTTAAAAAGGACCCGCAATCCAGGAAGCAGTCAATCAGCTATTACGAAGAGCGATTGAGAAGACTGGACAGCGAGTGGTCGAAGTTTGAAACAACTGACAACAAACTTCGACTGCTTGAAAACCCCCAGCTGGATCACGACTACTTTACAAAGGACTACTATAACAATATAATGGAAATTGTAAATCAGTACAAGGGGATTTTCGAGTCCGCAGTGCTCCAATTGGCTCAAACCCCGACGAGAGAATTGCGCTTAACAACTGATGAAGGAAGTACGTACCAACATGATGCTTCAGCTTCAAAAGTCAACACAGAAGCACGGCATGATACTGGAACCAAACAGGCAGCTTCCAACGAGTACACTAAACTAGTTCGCAGACAAGGGGTAATGATGGCCTCGTTGCGACGGTTACTGAACGACAACGTTTCACCACAATGTGTTCCAACAATTAATAAACTGTGGGAAAATATAGAAGACATTCACTTCAGGATATATGAGATGTTCGACAACCCAACCGAGCAGGGCTACAAGGTCGATAACTTCATTTCACTTGAGGAAAAGGTATGAAGTACTTTGCAAGCAGCTAATAGTGACTCCCATACTGAGCAATCTTCAAACCAACTTCCGATTAAACTGCAATCCATTTAATTGCCGAAGATAATAATTCCAAAATTCGATGGCACCTATTTAAAATGGCAAGAATTTCATGACCTATTCTCGCAACTGGTAATAAGTCAACCTCTTTCAAAAGTTCAGAAAATGTGGTACTTGAAAACTCACTTAGTGGGGGAGGCTGGAAATCTAATTAAACATTTCGCATCAACAGGAGAGAATTTTGATGCAGCTTGGTTCATGCTTCTGGAGCGTTACAACAACAAACGCTTGCTAGTGAGCAAGTTAATACATGAGCTAACTACTACACCTGGAAGCAAATCAATGGACAATGTCAAAAAACTGCATGACACAACACAAGAATGTCTATTAGCATTGCAAAATTTGCAGATAGACACATCAACATGGGATCCACTTCTGCTCCCCCTTCTACTAAAGAAACTGGATCAACCGACTCGTTTGCGGTACGAACAATCATTATCAAAGCCACGGGAGGTACAAACACTCAAGGAATTCCTGCAATTTCTGGAGAAACACTTTCAATCCATGGAAGCGATGGGTGTCAAAGACAAATCTACAAGCTCGACTGCAAAGGTGTGCACTTCAGTCACATCCAAAGGTCATAGAAATGACACTTGCAGCATGTGCAAAAAAGGAAAACATCCATTATTTTCTTGCAAGGAATTTTTACAACAGTCTCCATCGGCACGCTTTCAGTTCATACAAGGGCAGAAATATTGCCACAATTGCCTAAAACCGGGACATGGTTCTAAAAATTTTATATTAAGAAACTGTCTGAAATGCAACAAAAAACACAACACGCTGTTACATTTCGAGGATTCAAAAAGGGATGTGAGCAAAGACATTACATCAGTAGCCACTCCAACACAAGGCAACGAATTGCAAAGTACTACACCATCCAGGACCAAATCAACGTCATCAAAAGACGAAGCAGCGTCACTTACCACCCCAAAGCACACAAAGTCAAACACATATGTACTACTCAGCACTGCCATGGTGAAAGTTAGAGGAATCGGAACAGAAGTGCAGTGTCGGGCAATTCTCAATTCAGGCTCACAAGTTAATTTTGTGACTGAACGATTGGTTAAACGTATTGGTATCTCAACTAAACCATCATCAATCTCCATTAGTGGCATCGGGTCAAGGAGCACTAAGATACAGCATCGAGTCAATGTGACGCTACAGTCTCGGATCAACAACTTTACAACGTGGCTAGAGGCAGCGATATTGCCTCAGATTATATCCCCGCAGCCGTCGCAAGAAATCAAGATCGACGAATGGCAAATTCCTGAGAACATCATGTTAGCCGATCCATCATTCAATCGCCCTGACAAAATTGATATATGGTTGGGGGCGGAATCCTACAATCAACTGATGGCAGCAGGGCAAATCAAACTGTCAGATACAGTGCTGGGATGGATCATCGCGGGAAAAGTTGGTGGCAACTACATCTCAAATGCAATATGTGGAATCTGTACCAACGATGACATCAACTTAGATGCAGCCATTGCTCGATTATGGGAACTTGAGGATGTTGCAACTGTAAGAAAACAACATTCCGTAGCAGAAAAACAGTGCGAAGCTCATTTCGCACAACATATACTCATCAATGAAAATGGGAGATTCATGGTAAGGCTACCATTTCATGAAAATCCGGAATCCTATGGGATGGCGTATAATCGATTCCTGGCCTTAGAACGTCGACTGGCAAAATCGCTCCAGACAAAGAATCAATATGTACAATTTATGGAGGAATATGAGAACTTGGGGCACATGACGCAAGTGGATATTGATTCCATCAGTAAACCTAGGTACTTCATTCCTCACCATTGCATTGTGAGACCCGAAAACCGCAATACAAAATTACGTGTGGTGTTCGACGCATCAGCAAAATCGTCCACTGGCATGTCTTTGAACGACCTCATGTATACCGGACCCACTGTTCAGAGCGAGCTTTTCACCATTTTACTTCGCTTCCGTTTGCCCAGGTTCGTCTTCACCACAGATGTAGAAAAAATGTATCGACAGATGCTCATTCAACCGGACGAACGCAATTTCCAACTTATCATCTGGCGAAAGGATTCAAGCCTACCAATAAAGCATTATCAGCTAAATACAATCACATATGGGACAAGATCTGCTCCATATTTAGCCACCAAATGTTTGCAGAAAATTGCAAAAGAAAATACTTAATACCTTAAAGAAAATCCTCTTGGTGCTCAGTTTCTACAGGACAATTTTTATGTAGATCACGGAATTGGTGGGTCAGACAGCTTAACCCCTACGATGGAAATTCAACAGCAACTGATACACATCTTAAAACAACGTGGTCTTAACCTAAGAAAATGGTGCGCCAATCACTCACAATTACTGCAAAATGTTAGCATGGAGGAACAAGAAGTTGATATAGACTTTGACAATGACATCAATCAAACTATTAAAACGTTGGGGTTAACATGGATGCCTAAGATGGATCGATTCTGCGTAAAGGTATGCCTAGGAAGCTGCAGTCTTGCAACTAAACGCTCAGTCAGCGCCGATCTTTCAAGGCTCTTCGATCCGTTGGGGATACTAGCACCAATTGTAGTCATGGCAAAAATGTTTATTCAAGATCTCTGGCAACTGAAGCTGACATGGGATGAAGCATTACCAGCCGATTTGAATGAGAGATGGACAACATTTCGAAATGATTTGCAAAAATTGGACAACATGCAAGTTTCACGGCACGTGTTTGAAGGATACATCCCAGCAAAAATTCAAATTCATGTCTTCTCCGACGCATCAGAAAAGGCATATGGTGCTGCGATTTACATTAGATCCGAGCTGGAGGAGGGACGAGTACAAGTGAGGCTGCTCTGTGCAAAATCTCGTGTGGCACCCTTGAAACGGCAAACTATTCCTCGGCTTGAGCTCTGTGCATCAGTACTGGGTGCTCAACTAACTGCAAGGGTCAAATCAGACCTTAAGCTAGACGATGTGGCTACATACTTTTGGACTGATTCACAAATCGTGTTGGCATGGATTAACTCATCCTCAGCATCATACCAAACATTTGTGGCAAACCGTATAGCTGTTATTCATGAGCACACTACCGCTGAACAATGGCGGCATATAAGCTCAAAAGAAAACCCAGCTGACATTCTATCACGAGGACTGCCGCCGGGGAGACTAGAAACCTGCAATGTGTGGTTTTATGGGCCAACAATCTTGATTGGTAAAGAAGACACTTGGCCTTCAAAGTATTCCAAGGTATTATCAGTAAGCGACGAAGGTATCAACATGGAACGGAAAGGGGTGACATCAGTCGCTGTTGCAATCACTGGACATGAAGGAAGCGTACTTTATAGCATTCGACACAATGGCTCTTACAAAACATTACAAAGAGTGACAGGCTACATGCTGAGATTTATCAACCAGGCCAGAAACCAATCGCGGGAGTCAGACATTCCCTTGACCGTACATGAATTGGAAAAAGCGCTTGTGGTAATCGTTCGTACAATGCAGCAATCGGACTTTGAGGAAGAGCTTCAGCACCTTAAAAAATACAACGAAGTTCGCAAAAACAGTTCTTTCCGCAGCCTGTCACCGTTTCTGGACAATAATGGCATCATCCGAGTTGGAGGGCGTCTACAAGCATCAGAACTTGCATACGATGCCAAACACCCTATGCTAATTCCACATAACAATTCACTCGCCAAATTATTAGTACAAATTATCCATAAAGAAAACCGTCATTGTGGACCTCAAGCGCTCTTAGCTTACACAAGGCAAAGATTTTGGCCTATAAAGGGAAAATTGCTGACACGATCAGTTGTGCTCAACTGTGTAAGATGCACCAAAGCTAAGCCAAAACTAATGAGTCAAATTATGGGGAACTTGCCTTCAACAAGACCATTCATTAATTCAGGCGTGGACTTCTGCGGGCCATTTTGGGTTCACTTCAAGATAAGGGGAAAGAAACCACAAAAGGCCTATGTAGCGGTATTTTGCTGTTTTGCCACAAAGGCAGTGCATTTGGAATTAGTCAGCGACTTAACAACGGATGCATTTATTGGTGCCTTAAAACGATTTATAAGCCGAATAGGACATTGTCAAAATTTATATTGTGACAACGCAACCAATTTTGTAGGCGCGAAAAACCAGCTTTCTGAACTTACTGACGCTGTTTATGGAAATTCATCACGAGAATCAATAGTAAAGCAGTGCAGCGGAAAGGGAATAACATTTCATTCTATACCTCCTAAGACTCCACATTTTGGCGGTTTATGGGAAGCAGCGGTAAAATCAGCTAAGCATCTACTAATAAGAAGCACCTCGACAGCGTCCTTAACGTATGAAGAATTGGACACGGTAATCATCGAGGTGGAAGGAATCCTAAATTCCAGACCAATCAGCCCAATGTCCGACAATCCTAACGATCTAACAGCTTTAACTCCAGGCCACTTCCTCATAGGAGAACCCCTTAATGCCCAAGTTGATCCAACGTGTAGGCCACAGCAAACAAATATATTAACAAGATGGAAACTTGTTTCTCACCTCAAACGCGAGTTTTGGAATCGGTGGTCCCGCGAATATTTATCGGACCTTCAGCTGCGAAATAAGTGGAAGACACAACACAACAACATCAACGAAGGTGACATGGTGATCATCAAAGAAGACAACACACCGGTACTGCAGTGGCCATTAGGAAGAATCATCAATGTATATGAAGGAAACGACGGTGTAGTGAGAGTGGCTGATGTAAAAACTGCTAGTGGCACTTGCAAGAGGCCTATTCATCGGCTTGCACCCTTGCTCAAGGAAACAAATGATGCCACAGAACGACAATCAACCAAAAAACTGCTTGAGGAAGACAAAATTCCATCAAGGAGGAATAATCCTTCCTTATACCAAGGACTTGCTACACTTCTGATTACCCTACTCATCTTACCACTGGCTTTAGGAGCTGACCTTCAAAATAAGCGATTTGGATCAAGGCTTGGCATTCATTTTGAAGGAATAGGCTCAACAGCCATATCAACCACTGATTGGAACCTAATAATCTACTATGACATGGAAGGATTTTTGGTAGAACTAGCAGCGCTGTCGAATGGCACAAGGGCCCTGCGCCATTCATGTCAAGAAATCACACAAAAAAGCTCATGTCTTTCTCTGGTAGCACATCTTGAACAGACTGAAAAAGAGTTGCAGCTAGATTACGCAATAGTAAAATCTAATCGGCGTAAACGAGGTGCCATTGATGCAGTTGGAAATATCGCTCATTCTTTGTTTGGAGTACTGGACGCAGAATATGCAGAACAAATGTCCAAAACAATCACACACGTTAAGGAAAATGAACTACATCTGCTGCACCTGATCAGAAATCAAACATCCATTGTGGACTCAACCATCAACATTTTGAAGCAGGATCAAAAAGCGGTCAAGAGGAAGTTCGACATCATTGATCAACAAGTGAGTCAAATATTCCAGAGGATCAGCAACGACACGCATCAGATATACCAAGAACAATTATTTCGAATCTTTTCCTCGTTATCCATCCAACTCACACTTGTGGCAGCCAATTTGAAAAGAATGCAATCTGCAATATTAGCCGTTCTAATAGATACTCATCACGGAAAAATAAGTCCTCTTCTGCTGACGCCCAGCCAATTGCAAGACGAAGTAAACAAAATTAAACTTCACTTATCAGCACCATTGGAACTGCCTGTAAACCAAGAAGATTTACTCCAGCTATACCAACTCATGACGGTTAAGGGAGGACTTACAGAAAAGCATGTTGTATTCAGCATCACATTGCCTCTGGTAGAGCATGATCGATATGACTTATTCAATCTGCTACCAATTCCTACTTGGACTAATGGGACTATGATTGAAATAAGTCCGTGTGCTGCAGTTTTGGCAATAAACACTGCTCTCGGTCAATATTTCCTGCTGAGCATCTCCAAATTTCAATCTTGTATGGATATTAAAAATGGAAATTACATCTGTTCTAAAATTCAAATTCGTTATAGTCACGGTTCATCTAAATGCGCATGTGAAGTAAATTTATTCAACAACAACACCCAGTCAAGTTGTCAACTGCGAAAAACACCAAACGATGTTGCATGGATATCACTACAGCATAAAAATCAATGGATTTATGCCACGTCAGTTTCATCTCGTGCAACCGCAGTATGTGGAAAAGAAATCATTCAGGTGATTCTAAAAGGATCAGGACTGTTATCACTCCAACCAGACTGCATACTCAAACATAACTTTATATCAGTTCAAGCAGATCAGTTGATATCGACGAGTCTTTGCTCGTCCTACACTAGCCTGGGAGAAATTTCCGAAGTAGCTGCAGCAGAACATATAAAGCCTCTTCTTCAATCACGGGATGATGAGAAATACATAACACAAATACAAAACCTCAATCATCATTGGCCAATCAATGCATATTAGAACTCCGGAACAAAGTTGAAGCACAAAATGCGCACCACATAACGGTTGGGTACACTGCCTTGGTTACAGTTTTGTGCCTTTTGGTGTTCATGCTAGTCAAAAGAAAATTTAAAACAGCCAAACAGGAAACATTGCACGCATCCACGACTGCGACCACATCCGATCAAAATGAAAAACCCACACCTGCGCCTCGACATTCTCAAGGAAGTTTGGACTTTACGATAAACATTTAGGACAGAACCTGCTAAGGAATTCGAGCTGCGCTCACCGGGGGGAGGATGTTATTAACCCTCTAGTAGGCCAATTTTTGTATGAGTTGAAAAATTCAGGAATGGGTCATTTTAGCACGAGAAATCCAAAAATGATGTCCATTGCGATCTGTGACAGTAACTTTTTCCTACAGGGGAGAAAAACCAAGTCCGTCTGGAAACGGGCTCGCCGATATACTTTGACGTATTTTCAGCTTTCTCTTACACAATTTTGATCTACGAGCCGGCAATCCCATCTGCAGACGGTCAAAAATGCAAACTGGGTTTTTATATGTCGGCAATCCGGTCTGTAGACGGTCTGTGTTCGAAAGCAATTTTCTCCATTTCGAATGGTGACATAATTATAAAACTTATATCAAAATACTGTGCTTTTAACTACGAAACCCAGTGAATTTTTTTGTATCAAAAAATGTTTCAAAAGAAAAAATTTCTTTAATTACGAAATTACTTAACAGCAAGAAATAATTAATTTTAACCCAGTCT